GGATGGAAACTTGTAGTTTTAATGTGTTTGATTTTAAATGCTTCTTCGAATGTTTTCATGAGTTTGCTAACAAAGTTCGCACCTTGATCGGTGAGGATAGTTTTATGGTGCTGAGAATATATGTACATAGTGTTCTAATATTTGATCGACTATCGAATGCGCTTGTTGATTTTTAAGTGAGATAAGAATCAAATATTTAGTTAGAACATTCTGTATTGAAAGGATAAATTGAGTGCCTCTTTTAGTCTTTGTTAGTGGTCCAAATATATCCATTGCGATTTTATCATTGGGAGCGACAGGTGTATCAGGAATAATTGGAGGTTCCTTAGGTCTGATACGTGTTAATTTTTCGTGCTGACAAATTTCACATTTTTCAACAAATCTTTCTACATCAAATAACATATTGGGCCATGAATATTTCTCTCTAATTCGTTTATACGTCTTTTGTATTCCTAAGTGTCCGACTGTACCATTGTGATTTTCTTTTAGAATATTCTCAATTTCATTAGCAGATTATTTACGAATTGGATATTCAGCGAATGTTATTTCTTTTTCAGGGTAAGTATGTGCGAGATAAAATAGCATTAATCGAATATTAGTGATTTCTAAAGGTGTGAAACTGTCGTCTTTAATTCCTATGCTGATGTGATCACTATTTGTCTTTATTATATGATTGAGTTCGTTTAACCATGTTCTTTCGTCATAAAGTCCTAAATCGTTTTTTGTTAGTTGTAAGAATTTTTCATTGTTTGGTTTCTCTATAATTTTATTGTATTGATCAGTGTTCGTTTTCCATTTTTTATACGCGTCGAAATGATCTATTATTATATTGCCCGAGAATTTTTCGTTTTTCGTAATAGGGAAGATTCTAGATAGTGCATCAGCTGCTTTATTTTCTTTGCCTTTTTTATACTCAATTTCATAGTCGTATTCCTCCAAACGAAGTCTCCATCGCATAAGGCGAGAAGATGGATCTTTACAATCTTTTAACCATTTGAGAGCTTGATGATCTGTCTGAATTACAAATTTGCGTCCGAGTAAATATTGTCGAAGTCTTTTAATTGACCATACGATCGCTAGGAGTTCTTTTTCTGTAGTACTATAGTTCTTTTCAGGTGGGTTAAGTGTTCTGGAAATATAACAACATGGGTGACCGTCTTGTGAGAGTATTGCGCCTAGTCCTTCGTTACTCGCGTCAGTAGTGAGTACGAAAGTTTTATTAAAGTCAGGATATTTTAGAACAGGTGCTTCACAGAGTCGTGTTTTTAAAGTGTCAAAACTGTCTTGCTGTTTGTCAGTCCAATGAAATGGTATATCTTTTTTCGTTAGTTCTGTGAGTGGTTTTGCAATTTTGCTGAAGTTTTTAACAAATTTACGATAATATCCAGCTAGTCCAAGAAACGATTTTACATGGGTCGGTGTTTTAGGAATTTTAAAGTTTTTAACGGCCTCTAATTTTTTTGGATTTGGTTTTATGCCCTCAGCTGTTACTAAATGTCCAAGGTATTCTAATTCAGGTTTCAAAAATTCACATTTATCAGGTTGTATTTTTAATCCTAGTTCTCTAAGTCTTTGAAGTACCATTGCCAAATTTATGTTATGTTCTTGAATTGTTGAACCAAAAATAATAATGTCGTCGAGGTATACAAAGCAATGCTTATTGATGAGCCCTCGTAACGCGTTGTCCATTAGTCGTTGGAAAGTTGCAGGTGCATTTTTAAGACCGAAAGGCATTCTATTAAAATGGAAATGTCCTTGTGGTGTACTGAAAGCTGTATATTTTTTTGAATTGGGATCCATAGGAATCTGGTGAAATCCAGAAGATAAATCAAGAGCGGAAAAGAATTTTGCGTTTCCTAATTGATCTAATATTTCGTCGACATTAGGTAGAGGATATGCATCTTGATCGGTTAATTCATTTAATTTTCTAAAATCTATAACAATACGCCATTTCTGTTTTCCTGATGCGTCTTCTTTCTTTGGTACAACCCAAACAGGTGCATTATATGGGCTGTCTGATTTCTCTATGATTTTTTTCGAAAGCATATCATTTATTTGACGTTCGATTTCTTTTTTATGACATTCGGGTGGCCTATAGCTTTTGATGTTGATAGGTTTGTCAGATTTTAGAGTAATGGTATGTTGTGTTAATTTTGTGCAAGGAAGAGTATCGGTTTCAAGATTGAATACATCTAAATAGGATATTAGGATTTTTTCTATGGGTTCTCTCATAGCACATTCGATATGATCTGTTCTAATTATTTTCTTGAAATTTGCAATTTGGTTAATAGGTTTATAATTTGTGTCAATTTCGTTAGAAACGTAATGGATACGCTTACCATTGTTGTAGAAGCATACTGGTGTTGGTTTGCCTTGGATATAAACTGTGTGAATTTCTGCTTGGCCTGGACTGATAGGATCTGGTGTAGGTTTCTGAAAGAATACCGTGTTGTTATCGAGTGTTAGCGTGTGCATCTATTACAAAAACCGTAAGTATTATCGCCTTTTTCCGCTTTATATGACCTTCAATGTCTTTGTGTTATAGGTCGTTGAATTCGTTTCAAGATTCTCTATCATGATACGGAAGCAAAAATATACCGATCCATTTAAAAAATTGGCGGTGACCTTAGCTTAGCTTCAGCGCCTCCACCAGTAAAAAAATAAAGTGCGCCAGTATGGCGGCCCTCTCAAACACTGAAACTTTTGTATGAAACATTTTTTCGTACGACGAAAACCTTACGAGTTATTTGAGGTCGTCATGTTAGGAGACTCACCCTGTATATCTGACATTAAATCAGGCTTTAAGGGATGGTTAGTGATACACGACATAATTCCTTCTAGAAATTATCAAAGTAAATTAATAAGACATGTATGTGAAAATTCTTAGAAAAAATTTTAATTTTTGATGGATTGGATCGGAACATTTCGTGTATCGATGATTTCAACCTAAAATGTAGTACGTGCTCCATATAAATCTCATCGAAAGTGTCTGATAAAATGGATGGCTATCAGTTAGTCTCTGAAAGATTATTTACAACGCCGGGAGCACGATTCTATTACATAACCGATGCGGCGATACACTAATGCCAATCGCATCGACCCCGATCGCGACCACGTCAATTGATAAGATTACAAAATTCAATCATATTTTGATAATTGCCCCACAGCAGCCACCTTATAAAGCAGGGACACCTGCAAATGTGTGGTCTGTCGTACATCGCCCGCCGATGTGCAGATACACCTCTGTTACGGTAGTCGAATTTCTCTTTTCGTTGGTACGTTGTTCGTAAGGTACGTTATCAATCCAGTTATACTTCGAACGATATCAAAAAATAACCTAATAGAACGGAAACGAGTTCAAATTCGTAAACGTGCGATTCTCCTATCGGTATTAAGTGCTAGTTAAAATTATTATTTTCTAACTCGGCACTGATAAATACTTGCACGTTAAACAAACAGGGTGTCCCAGAACTAGTGTTAGGCCTTGAAACGGGGAGGAGCTGTGGTGAATTTCAACAACTTTTTCCTTTGCGAAAAAGTTGTCCGAGGCGTGGGTGAACATTGGATTACAACAAAATTTACATGCGAGAGCAACTAAGAAATTGATTAAATATCAGAGAATAGAAAACAATTAGTTGTTTGTTATGTTCACTGAATAGATGCAACATGTTCAATGAGAAAGCAATTAGTCGTTTGTTATGTTCACTGAATAGATGCAACATGTTCAATGAGATAAGTAACAACTTTATAAATTACACAGTAGGTAAAGCGTAAAAAATGGGAAAAGAATTAGTGTTGAAATTAATCGTTCGTCTTTAAGTTCACCTGCTCCTAAAAGAATTTCAGTAGGCCAATGTGCCGAAGCCTGACACTCGAAACTAAAACACATGGCCATATCTGTCAGTGACCTACTCTAAACACCACTGCTGCCCATGTGTTTTATCTTCAAGTACCGGGTTTCGGCACATTGACCCACTGACGTTCTTCTAGGAGCAGGTGAACATAAAGACGAACGATTAAGGACGTTAGTCCCAAAATCCATTTTCTATAGAATGTTTTGAAATTTTGCATGAGTATTCAATAGAGCATCACAAATACATGTGTAAAATCTTAGAGAGATCTGATGATT